GCAGAGCGTGTGCAGAGCAGGGGGACGCTAGGAACAGTATTAAAAACCGCTGCTTTAGAAACTTGTGAATCCATTAGAATCGTTAGAAGACAGAATCGCGATTCATATATGAACAGATTTTTACGTGTACCTCTAGTTTTCCTCTTCTCTAAAGCAGCGCAGCATGGCCTCACCCCCTTTGCTGCCTTTTCTCGAGGGCGGGGTTTATCTGGGCTTGTTACGTCACGAACCCGGGAAGTAACTCGTTGTAGTCCCTACCAGCCGTTTTTGTAGGCATTAAACTGACAGAATTTTAAAAGACTTTAAAATTATTTATTGGATGATTTATTTATTGCATTTGGTTGCACCACATGACTTTGATTTGGTTGAAACTGAAAGTTTTTTTATATTATTAAGCACTAAAGCAGTTTTTAATTTTTAATTATTCTTTAATTAGGCTCTTTTAATTAGGCTTTTGTCAGGAAAGTTTTATTACCCTGACATTTTTGACTTTATGTTCCTGCAAAACATTAAAATAAATAAATAATTTTAATTCAGAGATTGTAATTCAGAGAATAAAAACATACACACCGCGCCAATGCCGTCTCACTGAAGATCTGTTTGAAGTAGGGCTGCACGATAAATCGCATGCGATATTTAACGCGCATCTTATGAGTAAAGCCGGTTCTGTAATCAGCGGTAAATCTCCATCACGTGCGGGCTTTCACATTGAGCAACATTAACTACACAGAGCCGTTGTTCACTGACGAGCTGCGCAAAAAATCGCGTGAATATGAACGTGGTTTTGCGCAGCTCGTCAGTGAACAACGGCTCCGTGTAGTTAATGTTGCTCAATGTGAAACCCCGCACGTGATGGAGATTTACCGCTGATTACAGAACCGGCTTTCTGACAAGATGCGCATTAAATATCGCATGCGATTTATCGTGCAGCCCTAGTTTGAAGACATTCCCTTCAACCTAGATCCTGATACCAAATAGCTACACTGCAGTGTCATGAGGGCCTGAAACCAAGCGCAACAAGGCCCCGAAACCACATGTAGTGTGAAATACATTTTCTAGAATATTAGCTTGATGTTGAGAAAGCGACATCCTGTTACATTACTAAACAGATTCAGACCTAATAAACCGCTTTCTGTGCCCAGCGAAAAAGACCTGCAGAGCTTGCAAAGACAGCACAATTACAGCAACAATCTTGTGTTATAGTCCTACATTCTCCAGTCATGAGGCAAGATGTTGAGAGCACTGATGAGTCCAGTGTGTTATATTGTATCCTGACAACAGCTGAATGACTGAGCCAGTGTGCTTTGTGTAAAGAAACATTCCCTTCTGAATACATGTATCCTTAAATAAATATAGCAAAATCTGGAATCCATAATTTTATATTATAATGTTGAGGCTACACTACATACGTTCATATGCAGTATACATTAAACAATTAAATTAAATGGATTAAAATGCACTATTTGTTGTTACTTTTATATTTTCTGTTTTAATTTTAGTTACAATTTTAGTAATGTTGTTGTGTTTTGTCATTTTTATTTGTTTCAATTTGTTTTATTATTTTAATATACATTTTTAATTATTTTTATTTATAATTTTTATTATAACAACCCTGATATATATTGGATTTTTAATACGTCTATATATTTTTTATTACATTTATTTCATACTTTGTTTTAATTTAATTTTAATTTCTGTTTATGGTTTTAGATTAAGTTAACTATATTAACCCTATTAATAAAGGAAAAAAGTCAAATTATCAATTTTATCTAAAATGGAAAATATTAATTTACACTCAAATATTAAAATACGTTTTTGACAGTATAAGGATGGTCTGTAACCACTTGTTGCAATACGTATAATCAGTTCACATTATTAAAGTGCATTAAGATAATCTTCATGACGAAGCCAATTAATTCAGTGCAATTAAAGGGGTCATATGATGCTTTTTTAAAGATCATTATTTTGTGTATTTGGTGTAACAGAATATGTTGACATGCTTTAATGTTCAAAAAACACATTATTTTTCAAATACTGTACATTATTGTAAGTCCTCTATGCCCCGCCTCTCTCAAACGCTTCGTTTTCTACAAAGCCCCCTCCTTCGTCCGCTATTTCAATGTGTCCCAGTGGAAGGGCGTCTTGAGGAGTCTTAAAATAATACAAGTAACATTTCCTGGGGTCGTACACAAACCAGCGCGTTTTCAAGCCTCTCAGGGGCCCTTTCCCTGTCAGTTTGTTCAGGTAGCCGCATGATTTGACGCTCTGCTGCTTCGTGCCATCGCAGTCGGACACATCGAAAGACCTGGCCGCCAGGATCCGGGAATTCTTTCTGGGATTGGCAGCGCTGTCATCCTCTTCATGCATCTTTCTCTGGACTTTCTTCTCCTCTATCAGCAGACACGAAGTTTCCATCCGCATGACGTCACGTGACTCCCATTCTCGTGCTGCTGCCGCAGAGGATGATGGGATATGTGGTTTTCCTGTAGTTATAATGGAAACACACAGTTTAACTGATTACAAGCAAAAGTTAATATTTCATCATTCTGAAAAAAGTGAAGTGTGAAGCCGGACATTATTATTATATTTTACTTTATAATAAAGTAAAATATAATAATAATAATAATTTATTATTATTATTATTATTATTATTATTGAACTGCTAGGTATCACAAGCATATTTTGCCGTTGTCTCTCAGGATAACCGTTAGGCGGCGCAAAAGAGTCATATATTTCATTATATATTATATATTTATATTATATATATATTCATTATATGGTTTTAATTTAACTGCTGCTGTGTGCTGTTTTAACTGATATGCTTGTTTTACATATTATGATTATATTGAGATATTTATGTTCAGTAAATATCTGAACATAAATATCGATTCTAGCTTGTATGGTGCCCTGGCCCCTGGGCGAACCACCTCTTCTGCCACCCCTAAATAAAACTAATTTAACATAAATTTAGTTTTTTTATTTAAATGTATATATTTAAATTATTACAAAAGTATATATTTAAATGTATATATTAAATAAATACAATAGGCTACTGCAAATGTACTGCACAACTGTCCAGTAAAAACATGAATACAGTGAGTGATGTTACGTTTATATATATATATATATACAAACACTAAATTACTAAATCACATTTTACTGTGTGGTTATGTAAGCTAGTTGGACAGAAAAAAATAATGTTGTTGCCCTGTAATAACATAGCATAATGTAAGTGATATATTTAGCGCGATAGCAGCAAAGATAGGCTACCATTTATCTTTTGCACATTTCCCCTCTTCTTTTTTCCTAAATGGGCTCCTGATTGCTTACCTCCCACTCTCCCTGCTTAAGTCACATTAGTGAAAGTGATGAGAGGGCTGTATGATTCCACTCTCATCACATGATGAGACTGAAACCATTTAATGGTTCTGACCGTTGGCAAAAAGTCTGACATACTTTCAGCAGAGCCTCCATATCTCCGTATCTGATGTCCAGCTTCACACTTCACTTTGTCAGAATGATGAAACATTACCTTTTGCTTGTAATCAGTTAAACTGTGTGTTTCCATGTAAACGAAATATCTGCGGTTGCCATGACTGCCGCTCTAACAGTTTGTCTGAGATGAAAAGAGAGAGGGAAACACTTTGGTTTCCTGCACCGCAAGTCGCTCATGAGCTTTCCTGAAGGTGACACCTGTCACTACACTGACGCAAGTCAAATTACAAACTGGTATATTCAACGTTGGAAAAACGGTAATAGAAACCCATAGCCTAATAAAATGGTAAACAATTTAAACACTAGATAAAAAAGTTTGTCAAGACAAACTTTAGGTTGGCTTGAGAAAGCGTAGCCTGAAAATTTGAAGTAGTTTAAAAGCTTGAAAAGTTTGAAACAGACAGACAGACAGACAGATAGATAGATAGATAGATAGATAGATAGATTTAGCACATTGCTAAGATGTTTTAGCATGTTGGTAGCATGTCGGTAAAATGGTTTTAACATGATTAGCATGTTGGTAGCATGTTTCTACATAGTTAGCATGATGTTAACATGCTGCTATCATGTTTCTGGCATTATTAGCATGATGTTAACATGTTGCTACCATGTTTCCGGCATGATTGGCATGTTGTTAGCATGTTGATAGCATATTTTTGCACTATTAGTATGTTGTTAACATGCAGTTAATCAGGTTTCTAGCATGATTAACTTGTTAACATTTTTTAACATGATTTTAACATGATTGACAAGTTGTTAACATGTTGTTAGCATGATTAGCATGTTTCTAGCATGTATATAGCATAATTAGCACATTGTTAGCATGTTTCTAACATAGGGTGACCATACGTGCCATTTTCCCAGGACGCGTCCTGGCCAGGATTTCTATATTGCCTAAAATATCTAGGTTTTGGCTTTGTTTGCGTGTGCAGACCGATCGGTGTATGACATCAAAGTACCATACAGACGGTTATGCTTTCGAAACGCTCTCGAGGTACTTTGATGTCAAACACTGATCGGTCTGAGCCGCACTGCTTTTAAGTCGAAAACACCTAATATGTACGCGTAATTGCATCGCTTTGACCGTAAATCCCACCTTCTCACACGCCATGATTGGTCCATTATGTACAATGCTTGCATGTTATTGGTCAAACTACTTTTCGATCATTACCTTCAGCAAGCATGAAAACAGGAAAACAAAGCCAAAACAAATCCTGGCCAGGACGCGTCCTGGGAAAATGGCACGTATGGTCACCCTATCTAACATGATTAGCATGTTGCTAGCATGCTTAACATGCAGTTAACATGTTGCTAGCTTGTCTCTGGCATTATTAGCATGTTGCTAGCATGTTTCTGGCATGATTAGGATGTAGTTAACATGTTGCTAATCATATTTCTAACATGATTAGCACGTTGATAGCATGTAGTTAACATGTTGCTAGCATGTTGTTAACATGTTTCAAACATGATTAGCATGTTGGTAGCGTGTTTCTAACATGATTAGCATGTTGTTAACATGTTGCTAACATGTCTCTTGCATGATTAGGATATTGTTAGCATGATTAGCATGTTGCTAGCATTGATTAGCATGTTGTTACCATGGCTGCATCCGAAAACTTAGGCAGACTTGCTGCCGTATGAGGCAATGACTTTGCAGGCAGCGTTTTTGCACAAAGGCACCTCATGAAACTGATTTCGGACAGGCTTCTGAGGCAGCGTAATGGTTTAATGATCTACAACAAAATAGAACGAGTTTTGGAGATAACTAAACGAATATTTAATTACTATAATACTGATTTCTCGCTACAAATAACATCAAAAGTGCAAAAAGTTAGTCAGAAATATACATTTACACACAAACTGACCACCAAACGCAACTTTCAGACGCCATCTTTATTTTTTAGCTCAACCGTCACGGAATGGAACTCACAGGATTGTGGGATATCAAAGGCAGCGAAGGATACATCTATGCTGCCTTCAAAATTAGATCAGAAGAAGGTACCTCCGGAGACAGGAAGTAAAGCAGAATCTGGATTCGGACGTGCCTTGATGCCTTCCTGCCTTGGAATGCTGCCTCCGAAGGCAGCATTTTAGAGCTTTCAGACTCAGCCCATGTTTCTAGCATGATTAGCATGTTGCTAGTATATTATTAGCATGATTGGCATGTTAGCATGTTTTAACATGTTAGCATTATTTAATACATTGCTAGCATGTTTTAGCACATTGATACCATGATTAGCATGTTGCTAACTTGAATTAGTACATTGATAGCATGTCTTAGGCTAGTTGGCAGGCTTGGCTATAGTGAGATAGATAGATAGATAGATTAGAAATATAAGGTAGAATGGGTCCTTACATTAGTCTAAATGAATGTTTGAAATCAGTCTAGTGGTTGTACAGTTAAAGCTCTAGGAGTAGCATTTAGAAATTTTAGTCTCATAATAATAAAAATAATAATAAGCTTAAAGCCTGGAATACACTACACAATTTTTGCCCCGATTTTCTGCTGTTTTACAGTCTGCAGAAGTTGCCGAAAGTCTGAGCCAGTCTGCAGATTTGAGTTCACAGATTCCATTGAAAATCGCGTAGTGTATGATAATCTGCAGACTCCGATTTTGTAGCTACAGACTCTGATTTTAACCCAGTACGAGGATATTACACGTTTGATATTTTCAGCTGATTTTAGAACACATTGTTTTCATTTGTCACATTACCCCCAGCAACAAGGTGCACGTTTCTGCATGAGTTTGTTGTGATCGGAACGATTTTAGCGTCTGGTAGTGTGGTCGTGTAGTGTATGATGGCCAGTTTTCCTCTGTTTTCCTCTATTACAAAGTCGGTAAGTGTATGATGCCTAGTGTTTTAAAAACCTGTTCAGTTTTTAAAAGTCGTGTAGTGTATTCCAGCCTTAAGTAGCTTAAGTAGCATATCAGTAGGCTGGCTTTCTCAAGCCAACCTATTTATTTTGCATAAACAGTAATGATCAATTCACAGTATAAAGGACCGTTCACATCATGAACGATAACTATAACAAAATATATTAGCATTTTCACCAACACGTTTTCCATAATGAATGATAAAACACAACAACGCTCGATAACTTTCAAGCTCTTTAATTAAAGTCAGTAGATTCTGATTGGCTGTTGTTTTTAGCATTCATCAGCAGAATGAATGAACGAATGAATGAATGCATGAATCTATATGTATTTTTACATAACATAACAAAATATCAAAATATAAGCTACCATATTATTTAAAAAAATAGTATTTTTTTATTTGTTTGTTTGTTGTTAAAATGCATACTTTAAATGCTAATATCTAAAGTCAAATTATTTTTAGCTTGTTTTTCCTTTTATTCTTGTGGCGGTTGTCTTAAAAGATTCAGATCTTTAAAGCTGGCACACAAATCTGCAGCAAACAGACGTAACCGTCACTCTGACATTCTCCGCTGTAAACAGACGTCTGTCTGACCTTTCTGAAATGTCACTCTGTCTGACTTCTAGTCCTCCACAGCGTCTCGCATATAAGTGTCTTTTTCCTTTTACCTTCATGTTTAAACTTCTGGCCTCGATCCGCTGAAGTTCAAGTGGGTCATTCGTTTCCCTCATACTGTATACGTGACTTTGATGACTTCAACAATAAATAGCTGATGCTTAATTTGTTTTTTTATATTATCATTATTATTTATTTTGGTGTGTAGAAATTATTTTCACTCAGAAATTGCTAGTAAATTTGACCAATAATTACAGAGAAATGTCAAGTAACATAAATATAAGCACACATCTTGTCTTTATTTATTTATTTGATTTATTGATTGATTTTATTTGATATAGGCTAATGGACCCTTTTAACATCATGTGTCCATTTTTAAAATAATGAACTATTTCATAAATCAAAAACTTTGTCATAATGGGATCATTATCCTTTCAGCAAGTAAAATCTTC